ATCACTCCACACACATACAATCGTGAGATGGTGGGGTCTGGGCCAAGCATGGACGATGCCCAGATCCCGTACACACATACATAGATGAAAGGTGGGAGGAGAGATGGAGGTGGGGGATGTAGACAACACCGATAGGTCACGGAGATAGAATCCGATAGGTCACCGATATGGTAGTCCAAAATGTCATCCAACAAGATCAAAATGTCGAGGACAACCAGTCACCAATGTCGGAGATACAGAGTCCAAATGTAGYCGGTGTCCGAACTGTGATGCCGCCAAGTATCAACCCCAACAATCTCCAAGTCTCCAATGCGGTAAGTACCACAGTCTTATATCACCGAAGTCCAACTCTGATCTCTGTCCAACTAGTAGAAGTCTCCAAATCTGAAGAAGAAGAAGAAAAAGAAGAAGAAGAAGAAGAAAAAGAAGAAGAAAAAGAAAAAGAAGAAGATGGAGTCTGAAGAGAAGAAGAAGAAGAAGAAGAAAAAGGGAGCCGAGGAGGAGAGAGAGAGAGAGAGGGGACTGGCGAGGGGAGGGAGGAGAGAGGCCTCCAACTCCCGATACCTCAGGCGGCGATGGCCGTCGGTACACCCAGTCGCGGCTGCTGCTGCTGCTGCTCGCTCGCTGCTGCTGCGCTAATGCTGCGCTGCTGCTCCCTGCTGCTCCTGAGCTAAACTGAGCGCCAGCGCTGTATCGCGCTGTACCATACCGTACCGGTAGAAATCCGGTAGGTCGATAGCCTCACTGAGGCTGGACCGGTACTTTTGTACCGGTGGGCAGAGGTCGGCCTCTATGCTGCGAGGCCTGACCATGCCCTGAACCGTCCAGATGGACGGTTCAGCCCCAACCGGCGGGCGGCAGCCTCAAGAGCGCGGCCGGGCCCAAACGGTAATATCGTTTGGGCCGGCCCGTCGGGTCTAGTCCAAGGTAAGGCCTTTACGGCCTGTAGTACCCCCCAAGGTCGGGCCTTTGGCCCTACTGTGTCCCTCTACCCCTACGTCGGGTCCGGTAGGACCCGTGTGGCGTCGAAGATGTAACACACTCCCCCTCTTAAAAGTCCGAGCTTCCTGCGAGGGCGAAGTTGTGTGTCCGATACCGGGGTGGGTCGGGCGGGACGAGCTGCTTCCTTAGCAAGGCGTCGCTTCTCATAGTCGGTGAAGATAAGGGGTGCAGAAGTCTGCAAATCTGTACTGGAGATCCATCGAGTGTCATCAGGCGCACATTGCTTGAATGTGACCTTGAACTGCATTGGCTTGTTGCCATACTTGCGGTGTGTGATGACTCGGTCAACTTCCTGATGTCCGTCCATTGAAAGCGGATCCTGTGATCGACGTCCGGGAAACTCGTTAGCTGAAGGTGGCGTGTAGATGGCCAGCTTCGATGCGTGGAAGACCCGATGCACTGGAAGGTGCAGTGGAATGTTGATCACGAAGGAAGGGCCTGCGGGGTCGTCTCCAACGGCAGAAGTGACTTCCCATGGTCCGAACCATTTCGGAAGGAGTTTGCGCGAAACGTCCGGCTCGAGCGCAAATTCCTCGGAGAGGACCCAAACAAGGTCACCCTCGCGGAAAAGACATGGAAGTCGACGTTGGTAAGCCTACTGTTGCATGCATATCTAAGCCTTTTGCATATTCGCGCGGGCTTTGATCAGCAAGTCTCGGTACTTTCGAACGGAAGCGGGAGAGCAAGGGACGTCTATGTCGGCAACCTGTGGCAAAAGCAGATCAGCGAAGATCCGTGGTTTCTCTCCACCATGATGTAGCTCGAATGGTGTGACGCAGATCGCGGGGTGCACCGAAGTGTTATAGGCGAACTCGATGTTGGGAAGCCGGTCAACCAAATCTTTCTGGTCGGGACGGATGAGCGTACGCAACATCATCTGAGCGGTCTGGTGTGCTCCGTTTGGCCATCCGTCTGCGGGTGCCGAGCCGAGCTCGGTTTCATAGTCGTACCGGACTCAGCCATGAGGGAAGTCCAAAAGGCCGACAGGAAACGAGTATCTCGGTCGCTCACTATGTCTTCCGGAACACCCTGGTTGGTAATCCAACCGGTGTGCAAGAGTCGTGCGAGCTCAGGCGCTGCAGCATGATACATGCAAGGAAGGAAGCGAGCATACTTGCTCAAACGGTCAACGACCGTGTGAATACTGTCATGGCCGTGGTGATGGCGGGGAAACGGGCCTGTCACGTCCATAGCAATGGAGAGGCATGGTGCGCGAGGAATTGGCAACGGTTTTAGTTCGCCGAAGGGGACTCGAGATCGACCCTTGTTACGGTGGCAAACTGCACATGAGTCAATGTACCTCGTGACGTCATGAAGGACGTCGGGCCAGTGAAAACGCTGGCGGAGGCGTGCTAGTGTGCGGTTCACGCCAAGGTGTGCCAAAAGTCGTGCGTCGTCGAATTCGCCGAGAAGACGAGTCCGTAAGATGCGATCTTGGGGCACAACTAACAAGTCCTTTCCTCTCGTGTGAAGGAGAAGGAACCCGTCGGAAATCCGATAGTGGCTAGCCGGCCGGTTATTCGATGAAAGCTCCGCGTAAAGCGTAGAGTAAGTCGGATCGGACTTGTAGCCTTTGATGAAATGCGGCTGCAGATCGTCATCGAGGTCGAATGCCGTGGTCACAATGCACAAAAGTCGGGCCGTCGTGAGAGGGCGTCCGCAGCTCGATTGGCGGGACCGGGAATGTGGCACGGGTCAAAGGCGAACTGGTCAATATAATACATCCATCGACCGATCGTGTTGGTGACCGTATCCTGCGTTTTGTAAAAGGTCAACGGATTGTTGTCCGTATTCTATTTAAAACGCCGATGACTGAGAAGAAAGTGGCGCCACCGTTTGAGAACGGTGACGAACGCGAGTAGCTTTTTCTTCTAGCGTCGTCGAGAGTGTTTACGAGAGGCACCTTTTGGGAGAAGTACTCGACCGGATGCCAACCGTCCTCGTGACACTGTTCCAACACCGCACCAATACCATATCCCGAAGCGTCCGTAGTCACTTGGGTGGGAAGGGTGGGGTCATATATACGGAGGGCAGGTGCGGCTTGCATTGCTGCCTTCAACGTAGCGAACGCGTCACGGGCTGCGTCGTCGAACTCGAAGGGCACCTTCGGGGACTGAAGTCTCGACAAAGGAGCAGCCACTTTCGAGTACGACTCGTCGAATCGCTGATAGTATCCAGCCAATCCCGTGATAGAGCGTACATCCGTCGTGCAACGGGGTTCCGGCCAATCCATGATGGCTTGGATCTTGTCCGCTAAGGGACGAATGCCTTTCGGCGTGACAAAATGACCCAAGTACTCAAGCTCTTGCTTGGCGAATTTGCACTTGTCGAGATTCGCTTGGTACTTGGCTAGTCGCAAACGATCCAGAACAACGCGAAGGTGTACGATGTGCTGGTCCAACGTCCTATTGTAAACCAAGATGTCATCAAGGCGAGCAAGTCGCGAAACTCAGTCGTCATCGCTGCTTGGAAAGTGGCGGGGGCATTGGTGAGGCCAAAGGGCATTACAACCCACTCAAAATGCCCGTACCGCATCTTGAACACGGTCTTGTACCGGTCTTGAGGCTGGATTTCAATCTGGTGGTAACCTGACTTCAAGTCCAACTTCGAGAAGTACATCGCGCCGCCTAACCGCTCAAGAAAATCATCAATACGAGGGAGCGGGCCGGCGTTCTTTACGGTTTGTGCGTTAAGTTCGATAATCGATGCATAACCGTAGGTCTTTGTTCTTCTTTCGGACGAACGGAATAGGGGCACCGTATGGCGAGCAACTAGGGCGAATCCAGCCCTTGTCGAGAAGGTCATCGAGTTAGGCGAAAAGCACCTCGAGTTCCTCTTCGCTCATGCGGTAGATACATCCACGCGGAGGGACGGCGCCMGCCTCGAGAGTGATCCCGTGACGTATGGGCCGATCCGGAAYCATTCCGGTGGGAGCCTCGAAGACGTCTCTTTACTCGTCCAAGAGGTGAGAAATGCGTGGGTCCGACGGTGACGCGGCTGGTCCGTCCAGCGAGGGGAGAGCATGCAAGATACAAGGCCCATCTCCTCGACGTCATTCCGAGCAATGGCGTCGTGAATTCTCGCAATGGAAACCACGTGGCTAACAATCGAAGTGTGAGGGGTCGCGACCGCACATGGGACTAACACTCCGTTCCGATCACGGATGCGAACGATTCGGTCATGAAAATTCACCGGATGATCGGCGCTACGCAACCAAGACATGCCTAGAATCATGTCGAACTTGGTGTCGAGGATGTCAAAAGACACCGGCTCGCATGCAAGTGGCGCAAAGTATACCTGAACGCCGTCGACGCATCGGTCAATTGACTTTTGCGTGCGGCCGTCTGCGAGTGTGACTTGCGTGGGTTGCGTCTTCCTTCGAACGTGCGGGCCAAGGCCTGCGCGGGCCATAAAGGCTTGGCTCATAAAGTTGCGAGAGGCTCCGCAATCAATCAAGGCACTACAGGTTGCCTTTCCGATTTGAATGCGGATGTAGAGCAAAGGCGCGTTGGTTTCGGCGTATCTTTGGGTGGCGTACTCGCGGTCAATCTTCGCAAGATAGGAGCGGAGATTGACAACCGCTACTCGGTATTCCGTCAACGGAGCTGGTGCTGTAGTGTGCAAATAGGAGCGTAGAGTTGCCATCAAGGCGTTGCAATGCGGCCTTGGCAAGGTTCCGGTCGAGGGTAGAGGCATCCAAGCGAAGTCCTCTCTCGTGAGCGGGTCGAGCTCCTCAAGTCTTGACCACGCCGTCGAGTCCTCGGAAGTCAGTGACGAGCTGACCGGATCTTTTGCCGACGGTGTACAGGCTGCGCATATGCTAGCTAAATGCACGTGGCTCGGCTGGTCTAATGGTGGTACCAGCTGGGCGGCATAATCCTTGTACGTAGCACGAGAATCAGCGACTAACGCATGCTCCCCGGTAGTGACATCGAATGCTAGCAAGGCAACCGGGTCCGGCGGAGTGAGGAGAGACGTCGCCCCTCTCCTTGCGTAACTCGGTTTCCCGAGTTAGCTGGACGGGGTACGCGTGCCTTGCCCTTTTCGGGGCATTGTGCGGTCACATGAGTGACACCATTGCACCATAGGCAATATCCGTACCGTTGACGCAAGTCATATACTTCCTTGGTTATCTTGTATGCCGTCCATGGCTGCTGCCTAGTTCCCGTCGATGACGTCTCTTGTGTCGCCTTGTTCTTCCGAACTCTCTTGGGACGCTTCGGCGGGAGCGCTGCTACAATTCCTCCATCACTCGAGGATGCTGCTGCAGCGTGGAGATCGTTTGTTTCTTCAGAAATCACGACATTGTTATGTGCCGGACGTTGATAGCCCTGCTTAGCCACATAATGCAGCTGGGATTGTTTCTCGTTAACGGCCTTGTCGTCCCTTTGGATGACCAGGTTTGCGCGATCTAGGATAGCCTGGAACAAGGTATAGCCGTACTCGTTACCGAGTGCCGACCGCAATCCTGCGCACGATCGCGAGAAGAACTCGGATCGTTGATTAGGAAAAGTCAAATCGAACCCTGGCGTGTTCACTAGCTTTTGCCAGTTGGTTGTCCAGTCTCGAGTTGGCATACTCCCTTGAGAGCAGGTGTACACCTCGCTCATGGCCGCCTTCACGACGTTGCGGACCATGAACCGGGTGAACCATAGCTTCTCGAACTCTTTCCACGTGAGGTGAGTGTGAAGTTCGGTGATGGTGCATGTGTGGGTAGCCCCCAGATGGTTCATCCATGCCTGCGCTCCTCCAATCAGCTGTAAGTATAACGCCTTCATCAGATAGTCGTCCGGGACAGTGCGGCATGATGCTTCCGTGAGGAAACGTTGCCACCATGCCAAAGCGTCCGTCTTGTTGTGGTCGTCGAACTTGTTGATGTCGAAGTGCGGCATCTTGTAGTTCTTCGTAGTGGCGTCCGGTTTCGTCTGCAGCTTGGTGATGTCCGTCTTGATGGCGGCCACCGTGCTA